TAAGTGGCCAAGTGATGCTGACATAGTTGATCCATGATATTGGCACAGATTCTGTGTAATAAACAATTCTCTGCGACTGTAGTTCTCAAGTTGAAAAAGACATTTAGTTCCCACTTTAAGTGTACCTTAGTTCCCAGGACATCTACAAGATGCATTAAAAGGAATCTGATGGAGATAAAACACATCAGAATCAGGAATTATGAATCTGTTTGATCTTTTCATGTAGCTGAACTCTTCATGTTCAGTGTATCATCAGTGTCTCAGTACAGATGTCCAGATTACAGGAAGAACATGAACACACTCAATGAGTTTTCTGCTTGTTTTCTTACTGACTTACATTGTAGGAAGTCGTTCCTGGTCCTAGTGAGTGTGACTGTGGAAATAAACAGACATGAACAGTGTGATTCTGATGTCAAGGAAAAATGATCATGCATCCATTCCTAAGACATTTCTAATATGAATGATTCTAGTATTTGCCACTTAATTATGTAAACTTTCTAGGAAATAGTTTGGATGATAAAACATCTGCTAAGAACATAAATGTCCATCTAACAGCTCAAGAACATTAATGGAATCTTATTGTGGGGTTGAGTAGATTTGCTCAAAAAATCAGCTCAAAAGCTATGATTAAATTGATCATTATTTATAACGTTACAGCAGTTAGTGACATTGAAACTTCACAAACATGAGGCTGTATATTAGCAATCAGTCTCATCAGGATTTCAGACAAAAATGCAAGGTGCCGCAAATAATGCAGTGCTTGATTTTGCATTAAATTCTGTGATCGCAGAATCGTGAAATCCTGGAGTGACTGAACAATGCTTCAGCGCCTTGAAACCAAACAGGACCTGACCGTGTCTTAAAGGCATAGTTTACCCAAAAATGAACATTTTCTGTTAATTTACTCACCCTCAGGCCATCCAAGATATAGGTGACTTTTTTTCAGTAGAACAGTAAAGAAGATTTTAAGCTGAAACCGTGGTCCTTGGTGATTCATAAAATGCAAGTCAGCAGATTTCCATCTTTGAGAATAAAAAAATAAATAAATTCAAGGAACACAAAATGAATAACCTGTGAACTCATTCAGTGCTTGAGTTCCTCCAACAGTCACTGAACTGAGGAAACAGTTCGACTCGGACCAAAGCCCGATGAGTCGCTGATATGCGCATGCGTGAACCAAACACTTGAATGAAGGGAAGTAAAGTAATGTTTTTATGGTTTCTCATTGTTTGTAACAGAAGACTCAGCCATTCCCGGATCCAGTGGCCTTTTTAGTGTTTCCAGGCCAATCATGGACCCAGCAATCAGGTTAGTTTGCCTCCGTCAGGGAATGCATTTCCTCGAAGGACCACATTCAAGACTTTCTGGACATTGCATATTTCTCTGATCTCCCGGACTTTGCACTCATTTACTTTTTCTGTAAATGGACTTAATGAACTGTGGGAATACAAATTTAAGAATCTGTTTTAAATAAGATGATCCTATGTTCTGACATAGCATCACATGAAAAACTAAGGTGAAGTACGAGAGACCGGTCTCTTCCCCATGCATGCACGCTGGTGTCCTGGTGGGTCCAGTAAGGGTGCGTAGAGGGACTCCTGCGCCGCCAGAGCCATGAGCTGCCGGACCCGTGGTCCGGACGAGAACCGCACCCGTTACACGGCTGTCGGGCCAGGATGCCGGGCCGTCTAGTCCCTTCGAGCACCGTGGGCAAAGAGAAGGATGAAGCCGCTGGAAGAAGCTGCCGCCCCTTGTGCCCCTTACCTGGACCCTTCCTTCCCGAGCACTGCCCCACCTTCACGAACTCTCGTCCCGCGGCACGACGAGGACACCAGATCCCCTGTTTATTTTGAACACTTTTTTCCTTTGGACACTTTATTCCCTGCTTTGGACATTTTTATGCTATTTTCTGTTAATAAAAGCCTCTCCAAGGCCTGACGCCACACCCACTGTGTCTGTCGTTTGCTCCTCCCACCACAATATATATACACACAGCAGGATCTGTCTCAAGTCAACTATGATCCTTTTCTTCTAGATCTGTTACCTGCAGGAACTGGATGTGATCTTGTGTGTGTGAAAGCTGCTCCAGCTCAGCGTCTCTCCTCCTCAGATCATTGATCTCCTGCTCCAGTCGCTCCAGTTGTTCTTCAGCTTGACTCACTGCAGCCTTTTCCTGATCTCTGATATCAGGAATAAGGAGCCGTATCAGCTTAAAGCACCTTCTCTCAATTGAGAATTTGATTTCAGTAAAGATCCTCTCACTGTCCTCCACTGCTGTCTGTGTAGAGCGCTGTTAGGACACACAGTGATTCAGTCTATCCTCCTCAGATCATTGATCTCCTGCTCCAGTCGCGCCTGTCGTCCTTCAGCTTGACTCACTGCAGCCTTTTCCTGATCTCTGATATCAGGAATCAGGAGCCGTATCAGCTTAAAGCACCTTTTCTCAATTGAGAATTTGATCTCAGTAAAGATCCTCTCACTGTCCTCCACTGCTGTCTGTGTAGAGCGCTGTTAGGACACACAGTGATTCAGGCTTCAGTGAGTCTGAACTGAGACTGAGACAAACTTCTCTTCTTCTCCAGACTCACCTTATGAGACTCCACAGCCTCTCTCAGCTGCTGAAGATCTTTCTCTCCCTGCTGGAACGTCTCCTGTGTCTCCTTCAGCTGCTTCTGCACAGTTGGTCGAGACTGACCATGGGATGCTGGGTGCTTCTTGAGTTTCTACAGCCAGAATGGTTGCACCTATTACATCTGACGACAACTACTCATAAGCAATCACACAAAGTTTCTCATTTTGCTTCTGGTATAATACTGCACATAAGCCTTGAGCTGACACATCTGTATGCAGTATAAAAGGTTGTGAAAAGTCCCGGAAAGCTAATACAGGGGGCTGGAGCAAACAGTCAATTAGTTGTTCAAGAGTGCTCTGATGTTGTTTTGTCCAGGTAATGGGCTTACTCTATAGAACACCAGTTCTCGTGCATTTTGTCTTTGACTGTCTCGGGCTATTTTTCAGGTGAGCATTACCTTCTGGAGTACTTTTTAGCAGGTCGTACTAAGGGTGATGATTCTACCTGGCCGCATCTCTCTACTAAGAGTGAAGCTGTGGGTTTTAGTTACTAAGAAATATATGCTAGAACTTTTCATTTTCTAAGCTACATTACTGAGAAATCACAGAACAGTGTTGACAATACATTTCTGCGCTACTGAATGATTCTGTGTGTGTGCAATCTGCGCGTCATGTACAAGCTGCAGCAGCGCATTAGATTAGAATGGTGATTATCTTACCTGTACAATAAGCTGTTTAAAACGTGCATTTTCCTGTTCAGTTTCGAGCATTCAGATGGTATAATCACACGTCTTGTGGAGTGTATTTGGAGTATGCATTTATTCGTCATTTTAACTGTTTGGAAATGGAGCGTAAATGAGAACTTAAAGATCTCTTATTTTGTTGCAACCTCTATAGGACCAGCGACAAGTCGACATCAAGCTTAAAGCGTCATGGCAGAGGATTAAAGCCGACTAATCGACTAGTTGACTAGTCTGTGCATCACCTAGTGTTGATGTGGCCTGGATGTGGCATACCCCAACAGCGGTAGGGTTTGCTGGCACCTCAAACATACTAGCATGGAAAACATTCTTGACAAGCTGCACTGTACCAGTCGGAGTCTGGCCCATCAGAGTAATATTGTGATCAGTGTCATTATATACCTCAATTGTGATATTTGTTGAGTCCCTCTTTTAACTTTCAGTCACCATTATTTTATATAGTGCTTTTGACAATGCAGATTGTGTCAAAGCAGCTTTACAGTATTAAACAGGGAAATAGTGTGTCGAAATAGTATACCGTTCTCCTCTGGCCAGATGAAACCAGCAGTTTAAGTCTAGGCTGCCACAAAGTCAGATTGTGCAGAGGACTCATCTGGTTCCCGTGGTCTTGTCCCAATGGCCGTCTAGGTGACGAGGTCTTCGGGGCTCATCTAGTTGTCCTGGTCTCCGCTGAAATTCAGTAATCATGTTATCCATAAAAAAGTAAGGGTTTAAATAATTTTCACATGATATTGTCATCTGAACAAGTAAGTAACAAGTCTGCCACTTTAGTTCTGACCAACTGAGAAAAAAAAACATTAATCAACAATTAAACAATTAATCACGCTACCAATGGTGATTAAATCTAATGATCGCTTAGCTCATATCACATCAAACAGTGCACATTATTATTATTGTTATACTTTGTATTTTAAATTGTTAATACTAACAACATCAGCATTGCGTGACTACGTGTAAATAGTGTGTATTAGCGTTACTTGTAGGTTTTAAATTTCTGTACAGTCTAATCTTTAATTGTCATACCATTCAAATTTAATATTCAAATTTCATAATTTCATCAAGAAATTGTTCTTTTTACCCAAAAAGCAAATTTTTGTTCCTTAGAACTGACTCTCTTGGAAATACAAATCTTGTGTAATCCCACGTATCTGGGATGCACATTTAAAACTGGAATATAATCTAATTTCAGTCACTTACATGTGTTTCATTAACACATAATCCTTTGTGGATTACAGTCCACTATCAAAATGATATTAATTATTCTATCTGCTGTGAGAAAAGGCTATAAATAATCCGCCATCTGCAGCATCCTCACAAGCAACATGTTCTTCTTTCTGTTTACAGACTTGACGTAATAACGCAAAGACGAATGGCGGCATGCTTGTATTTCTCGTAAAAACCTACTAGTACCACTCAAATTAGAAAACATAACAAGCTTACCATTGTGATTTGGACTAAGGTAAGGAGATAGTTTTAAACACTGGCTGGTTATGTACTTGCTCAAAAATAGATTTTGGATCATTTTTAACCAAAAAAACGTTACGGACTGCAGCTTTAAAATAAAGTGTATCCAAACTTAACTATGAGCATTTTAAAATGTGATATACTCTAATTACAAGTTCTTCATTTTTTATCTGATTATGTAATCCAGATTACTTGTAATCAGTTACTACCCAGCACTGCTGATAGGTCAGCTGACCTGCCACTCCAGTCAGTGAAGCAACTACTGAACGACTGAACTACTGAACACACACACACAAATAAAAATGAATGACAATAAAATCAGCGACTCGTGACACCAGAAGGGTTGGAGCTACATGAGGTGAATAATGAAAATCATTTATTGACTGTGATCATTTGAAATGAAAGGTAATTTTGATAGTAATAATAAAAATGACTGATGTGATTCTACATTAAAAACTAAATGACTGATTTCAATCAACACAAACAGAAGTTGAGAAAACCACAGAAACACATCGTCACTCAGCAGGACTCGCACACACTCACTGATCTTACTGTCAACATGATGATTTATTACACACATTTATTCTGACATGTTATTTCAGTGACAGAAGTTCAGCTGCAGTATTAATGTCATAAAGAGAAAAGAACAGACTCTATGACATCTTACTGTTACTGATCTATCATGCAGCTCAAAGCATTATGAGTAGAATCTCTCATCAAGCTATTCTGATTCATCAACACAGTTTCACTGATGATCCTTTATAAACACCAAACCCAGGATAGAGCGGCTGAGTGAATGTGGTCTGGACTGTGTGGATGAGGCTCATTGTGTCAGAGACGCTGTAGAAGGACAGAGTTCCTGCACTGTGATCCACATACACTCCTATTCTACTGCTGATGGGCTTTACACGGAGAACAGTCACCATGTTATTGTGTGTGAATGAGTAACCGGAAGGACAGCAGTCCAAACTCCAGGACTGATCATTAGATCCAAACAAACACTCATTACTCCGTCCCTTCCTGCTGATTCTCTTATATGACACTGATATAAACACTTTTCTCCCACTCCACTCCAGCTCCCAGTAACAGCGTCCACACACACTCTCGCTACACAACACCTGATACCAATAATCAAATCTGCCTGGATTATCAGGATACTGCTGGACTGTGTCAGTGCCAGTAACCACTCTGTTGCTCTCAGACAGACAGAGCCGTTTATATGCTGTGTTCAGATCCAGAGTGAGCCGATGGGAATCTGATGGAGATAAAACACATCAGAATCAGGAATTATGAATCTGTTAGATCTTTTCATGTAGCTGAACTCTTCATGTTCAGTGTATTATCAGTGTCTCATTAGAGATGACCAGATATCCTGTGCAAATCATCATTTACATCATCAATTATAAAACTCTTCTTTCACCTTCTACAGGAAGAACATGAACACACTCAGGAAGTCATTCCTGGTTCTGGGAACAATGTTGGTGAATGTGACTGTGGAAATCAACAGACATGAACAGTGTGATTCTCATGATCCTGCATCCATTACTAAGAAATTTCTAATATGATGTTCTCCATGATATGAGATGATGATGGACCCGTTTCTGAGAGCAGATGAATTCAGGACTTTACCTCTGTCTGAGATCTTCTTGAGCTCCTCTTTGCAGGAATCCTCCAGTTTTTGTCTCAGCTGACGGACAGATTCTCTCAGGTCATCAAAAGAGAAGAGAGAACTGAAGGGATCGTCATTTACATCTGTATATTTAGGAGGTGCTGAGAGAGACTGGAAACTCTACAGAGTTAAAAACAAAAATAAAACTCATCAGCGCCACACTTCACCCAATAACTTGCACGAACATCAGATTTGTGCGGCTCTTGTTGAATTGACTGATCATTAATAACTCACCTCAATCCAGCACTTTCACAGCATCAGCTTAAAACTTTTTCATATTTATTATATCACATTAGAGCTACAGATTCTAGTATTTGCCACTTACACTATATGTGAACTTTCTAGAAAATAGTGTGGATGATAAAACATCTGCTAAGAGCATAAATGTCCTTAAGCACATCAATGGAGTCTCATTGTAGGGTTGAGTAGATTTGATCAGGAAAAGCAGCTCAAAGGCTACGATTAGTTTGTAAACTATTATTTACAACTTTAGAGCAGTTAAAGACACTGAAACTTCACAAACATGACCCTGTATATTAAAGTGAAAGTGACGTGACATGTGGCCAAGTATGGTTACCCATACTAGGAATTAGTGCTCTGCATTTATCCCATCCTAAGTGCACACACACAGCAGTGAACACACACACACACCGTGAACACACACCCGGAGCAGTGGGCAGCCATTTATGCTCAAGGGCACCTCAGTCGTGGTATTGAAGGTGGAAGAGAGCGCTGTACATTCACTCCCCCCACCTACAACTCCTGCCGGACCCAGGACTTGAAATCACAACCTTTGGGTTACGAGTCAGACTCATCAGGATTTCAGTCAAAAATGCAAGGTGCCGCAAATAATGCAGTGTTTGATTTTGCATTAAATTGAGCAATTTTGCAATTCTGTAGTGACTGAACAATGCTTTAGCGCATTGAACCCAAACAGAACCTGAGCATGTCTTAAAGGCATAGTTCACCCAAAAACAGAACATTTGTTACTTTACTCACCTCAGGCCATCCTAGTTGTAGGTAACTTTTTTTTCAGTAGAACAGTAAAAAAGATTTTTAGCTGAAACCGTGGACCTTGGTGATTCAGAAAATGCAAGTCAGCGGCTTCCTGTCTTTGAGAATAAAAAAAGTATATCAAGGAACACAAAATTATTACCTGTGAACTTATTCAGCGCTTCAGTTCCGCCAGCAGTCACTGAACTGAGGAAACAGTGCGACTCGGACCAAAGACCGATGAGTCGCTGATTGGTGCATGTGTGAACCAAACACTTTTTTTTATGGTGTTTTTATGGTTTCTCATTGTTTAAGTAAAAAGGTAAAAAGGCAAGTTTATTCACTTTATATGCATTAGACATGTAAAACATCCACATTTCACAACATTATCGGGTGCTTTAATATTCTAATTGTGTATACATGAAGTCATTGCGTGTTTACATAAATAAACTAGTGAACTGAACCGGTTCATTGAAAACAACTCTGGATTTCCCCGTTGCCTGAGGGTCTGGATTACCGGTAGCAATGTTGTAAATTATGTTCGGTTTCTTGTACAGACAGATAGTTTCACTTCATAAGACCTCAATATAATGTCAGTGCCACTTCATTTTGCGTTTTCTGATTTGCTTTATTTTATTGTCAAAAACATGCAGCCGCTGACTTGCATTATATCTGTCACGATCTCCAGCTGGAGTGCCCATGAGCTCCTCTAGAGGGCACTCCATCCCTTACCTTCACCTTCTCACCCCATCCCAACTCCATTGTCATGCCGCCTGTAACAGAAGACTCAGCCATACCCGGATTCAGCAGCTATTTGATTGTTTCCAGGCCAATCATGGACCCAGCAATCAAGTTAGTATGCCTCTGTCAGGGAATGCATTTTCTCAAGGACCACATTCAAGACTTTCTGGACATTGCATATTTCTCTGATCTCCCGGACTTTGCACTCATTGACTTTTTCTGTAAAAGGACAAAATAAACCATTGAAGTAGATACTCACTCGTGATGGTCCTCGAGGGTCACTTTGTCAGTTTCTGGATTATGCCCTGCTGTTATGTGGTTCCTCCTTCATTGTCGGGGCTGTTGAGGATGATGTTTCCCCTAAACAGGAAAGGACACACCAAGCTCTGGTGGCCACAGAGCTTGGCTCATCAAGATCACCACCATGTCAAGTTATTATGCTCGCCACTCCAGTGTTTTTAGTATCTTCCTGTCCTGTGGTCCCTGCACCTGAGCCAGTTCATAACATGGCCGCCATTCCAGAGCCTCATCCTGTCATGGCCACCCCTCCAGAGTCCCTTCACAAGATGGCCGCCAGCCCAGAGTCTCTTCACAAGATGGCCACCAGCCCAGAGTCTCTTCCCAAGATGGCCGACATGCCAGAGCTTCCAGCAATCATGGATGTCCCGCCACAGTCCTGGCTGTCATAGAAGCTGTTCCCCTATCCTCAGTGCTCCCTGTAATGGCCATCCTGTGTGTTTGTGCTACACACTGCTCTACTCATCCTCCTGAGCCTGCTCCAGTCCACGAATCCGCTTCAGAACCCACTCCGGTCTGTGGGTCTGGTCCGGAGCCCACTTCAGTCCATGAGTCTGCTCCAGCTCCTCCTGAGTCGAAGGAGTCTACCTCAGCTCCTCTCTGGGTGGTGGCTACCACTTCTGAACTCTCAGTCTGTCCTGTCCTGGCCAAGGAGGCCGTCTCTGATCTCTCAGCCTGTCCTGTTCCGGGCCAAGGAGGCCGTCTCTGAAGTCTTCGCCTGTCCTGTCCCAGCCAAGGAGGCCGTCTCTGAAGTCTTTGACTGTCCTGTCCCGGGCCAAGGAGGCCGTCTCTGAAGTCTTCGTCTGTCCTGTCATGCCCAAGGAGGCCATCTCTGAACTCTCAGCCTGTCCTGTCCCGGGCCAAGGAGGCCGTCACTGAAGTCTTCGCCTGTCCTGTCCCAGCCAAGGAGGCCGTCTCTGAAGTCTTTGCCTGTCCTGTCCCGGCCAAGGAGGCCATCTCTGAAGTCTTTGCCTGCCCTGTCCCAGCCAAGGAGGCCATCTCTGAAGTCTTTGCCTGTCCTGTCCCGGCCAAGGAGGCCGTCTCTGTAGTCTTTGCCTGTCCTGTCCCGGCCAAGGAGGCCATCTCTGAAGTCTTTGTGTGACCTGTCCCGGGCCAAGGAGACCGTTTCTGATCTCTCAGCCTGTCCTGTCCCAGCCAAGGAGGCCATCTCTGAACTCCATGTCTGTCCTGTCCTGGCCAAGTAGGCCGTCTCTGAAGTCTTCGCCTGTCCTGTTACGGCCAAGGAGGCCATCTCTGATCTCTCAGCCTGTTCTGTTACGGCTGCTGAGTAGTCCTCAGCACCATCAGCTCCACCCTGGTGGTCATCAGCTCCACAGTGGGGATCTTCGGTCTCATCTGCTCAGCTGTGGTGGTCTTCAGCTCTGCCCTGGTGCTCTTCAGCTCCAACAGCTCTGCCCTTTTGGTCCTCAGCTCTGCTCTGGTGGTCTTCGGCTCCACCTGCTTAGCAAACTCTGCCTCAGTCTCCAGGTCCTCCAACTCCACAGGGACCTCGCCCTCCATCCCTCCCCCTGTTCCGCCTCCCTCCTGGACTTCTGTGACCCTTTGGGGAGCGCCTGGAAGCCGCTTTTTAAGTGGGGAGGGCTCTGTCACGATCTCCAGCTAGAGTGCCCATGAGCTCCTCTAACGGAATCTCCATCCCTTACCTTCACCTTCTCACCTCGGACTCCATTTCCCAGAAACCCCAGCCTAGGAACTGATTATGGACACATCTGTTTCCCATTAGGAGGGCTATTTATGTTGCACTCACACATTGCTGGTTCTTGTTTAGCTCTTTAATAAAGCTTGCACTTGGATCCACTATCTGTTTTTACGCTGCCTGTAACAATATCACCAAGGAACACATTTTCAGCTAAAAACAAATTATTTGCAGCACCTTGAATTTTATTCTGAAATCCTTGTGGGACTGATTGCTAATATACAGCATCACTTCATGTTTGGGGTCTTCATTGTCAAATTAATCATGCAGGCAAATAAAATTATTTTTATCCGCTTTAAAGATCACCTGTTCCAATTTTTTTTAAAAGTTGAAAAGTTAGTGAAGTTTTGAACTGTTGACGGCACTAGTGGTGTTTGACATCTAAATATATCTTCCAGAAGAAAGAGCTCAGAGAAATTATTCCTAAGAGATTTTCAGAGCTGAAAGCCATTTGCAAGCGGCGCCTCTTTTCAAAAGAAGATCATCAGATGAGAGTCTAACTGATTATTTATTATAATAAAAAGACTGATGATTATATAGTAAGACACTCATGAAATGTTTCTCTGTGAGACTCCTGTCACAGCAGGATCTGCTCAAGTCCACTATGATCCTGTTCTTCTAGATCTCTGTTACCTGCAGGAACTGGATGTGATCCTGTGTGTGTGAAAGCTGCTCCAGCTCAGCGTCTCTCCTCCTCAGATCATTGATCTCCTGCTCCAGTCGCTCCAGTCGTCCTTCAGCTCGACTCACTGCAGCCTTTTTGTTTCTCTGTGAGTCTCTGTCACAGCAGGATCTGCTCAAGTCCACTATGATCCTGTTCTTCTAGATCTCTGTTACCTGCAGGAACTGGATCTGATCCTGTGTGTGTGAAAGCTGCTCCAACTCAGCGTCTCTCCTCCTCAGATCATTGATCTTCTTCTCCAGTCGCTCCAGTCGTCCTTCAGCTCGACTCACTGCAGCCTTTTCCTGAGCTCTGATATCAGGAATCAGGAGCCACATCAGCTCAAAGCAGCTTCTCTCAATGGAGCAGTTGAGCTTAGTAAAGATCCTCTGCTCACTGTTCTCCACTGTTGTCTGTGCAGAGCGCTGTTAGGACACACAGTGATTCAGGCTTCAGTGAGTCTGAACTGAGACTGAGACAAACTTCTCTTCTTCTCCAGACTCACCTTATGAGACTCCACAGCCTCTCTCAGCTGCTGAAGATCTTTCTCTCTCTGCTGGATTCTCTGCTGGAACGTCTTCTGTGTCTCCTTCAGATGCTTCTGCAGGACAAATGGATGATAGTAAATCTCACAGAAAACTACTGGCACTAAATCATCATGTGAACAGATGAATCCAGTAAAAGTCAAACTGATAACTAATGGCTGTAAACTCCAGAAAGGATGATTGATTATTTACCACTATTGTACATGAATTAACATGAAGATTAAAGCTTGTTTCACACTACAAGTGGAAGCACTAATTTTAAAAACCTGATTCTCTGTCCTCTGTGCTGCAGCTGATACAGTGTCATGGTTTTTATGTTCATATATTGTACACAGCTCACAAATGCATTGTTGGTCAGTAATACAGTACATCTCCAGATGTTTCTCATGTTTCTGGCAGATCATCTCCTCCAGTCGTCCAGTGGCATCAATCACTTTGTGTGGCTTACGTGAATGAAATTCCTCATGACGCTCAAAATGAGTTTGACAGTAAGATTCCTGACACATCAGACAGGACTTGACGGCTTTGTATTTTCTTCCAGTACAGACGTCACACTGCACATCTCCAGCTCCAGCGTAACAGTCAGCAGTAAGTTTGGTCTCCTTCAGTTTCTCCACCAGTTCAGCCAGATATATATTTGTGTGTGTGTGTGTGTGTGTGTGTGTGTGTCTGTCTATTTCTCTATATCATTTCCATTGTTCTCCCACTATAAACACATTTCAGGCACAAATAAACAATTAATTTTAGAATAAACACTAATTTACACATTCAACATCAAAGTCTAACTAAAGCAGGTCTTGGACTGAAGGTCTGTCTGCACTGAGGGCAGCTGTAGACTCTCATCTGATCCTCCTGATCCCAGCAGCCTGTAATACAGCTCTTACAGTAACTGTGTCCACAGGGAATGGCCACGGGATCCTTCAGGAGATCCAGACACACTGGACACATCAACTCATCCTGAGAAAATCTGGCTTCTGCCATTTTACTGCAATAATACAGAGACACAAACACACAACATCTCAGTCACACTTTCGCTTTCTTTTTCCCTTAAGTCATGGGATTCCTGTTTCCTGGTTCTGTGTTTAAGTCACTTGTGTAAAACAGGCATGTCTCTGAGTCTGTAAAGCATGAAATGTCTACTAGATGTCAGTTTCAGACAAACACTCAAAAAAAAAAACAAGTTACAGAGAAGCAGGACAACAGCCTTAAAAAGTGCAGTAATAACTGCATTCTAATTATTACAGAATTACTATATTATACCCGGAAAAGGGGGAAAATATTAGACGAAATACTGAAATCTACTGAAACTTTATGCAGATTGTTAAGACAAATTCCAATAAAGCACATTTTCAGAACATTGCTCGGTTTCTTTACGGGTCCAGAAATAATATAGTTTAATACTATACCAATACTAATTGTAAAAATAGTTAACTATCAACTTATACACTTGAAATGATCAAAACGTTTCTCTCTTGTAAATACACATATACTTTTTAAACCATTTTCTTTATTCAATGACTTACTTTCTCATGTATACATACTAAAAATTTCTCAATGTATATATATATACCACTATAAACACATTTCAGGCACAAATAAACAATTAATTTTAGAATAAACACTAATTTACACATTCAACATCAAAGTCTAACTTGTTAACATACAATTTCCACGTGCATCTGGTGCTTTCCGTGGAGTCGCTAGAGTCGCTACACACCCTCTTACCAATGCTCTTTACTGTGCATCAGTTTGAACTCTTTCAAACACATAAAACAGTTAAAATAGCCACAATAAAAAGTGAAACATTATGCATTAACCCATTTTACACTTTTTACCAAGCATTATCCCTCATCCCTGAAAAGGGGGAAAATATTAATATCAGACAAAACTCCAGCGGTGTTCTCTCTACTGAAACTTCATGCAGATTGAGAAAACCCGCGAAAATTCCCCCTAGTGTCTCGTCAGGCAAAACTAATCAATCACCAACATACCCTAGTTTAACAAATAGATCACAGATCCACAAGAAACCATGAAAACTAACTTTCCATTTACATTATTTGAACAAACAATTTTAAACTTTTTAACCATTTTATGAACTATTTTTAATCATGTTCCTTTTTGGATTATATTATGACATTTCTTAATTACCATTTTAATCTATCACACACTCCCCTACAAAAATAAATGTCATCTCCACATTACCATTCTCTTTCCACACAAGTCTTTTAGTCCGTTTTTTGTTTCACACATATTTTGTAGTGCCAGAGTTCTTGTAACTGTTCAGCATTTTAACAGTCCAGGATTGTCCCAAACATGATATTTCACTTTTATATCAAAGCAGCAGTTTATGAAAAAGAACAGTCTATAAGTGTTTTAAAGTGCAAAAATTTAAAGAGGCATGAAACAACAGTCTATCTTTTCTTTGGCAATCGAGAGTCCAAGAGTCTACAGCCTGAATGGTTGCACCGGACCAAGTAATTGTTTTGCAAGTCACAAGTATGTCTCGAGTCTTGGCATTCAAGTCCCAAGTCAAGACGGGCAAGTCCAAGTCGAGTTGCAAGTCCTCAACTTTAAGCTTCAAGTCCTAAACAAGTCATTAGTGCTGTTTGCCCAAATGAGTGTTTTTGTATTAATTACTACAGTAAATTTTAAGTCATTAGTAAGTCTATAGTAAGTGTATTTATAAAGTTATAATAATTAGTGGTGTTTCATTGAGGAATTGTTTATGAACATATATAGGCCTAAGTGAATGAATAATTTCTTTTAAGTCCACTGTTTCATTTGTTAATGATTCAGTGATTTTAATGAATCAATTGAGTCAAATATTTAATAACTTGCTAATACGAAGCTAATACAGAAGCTCATTTATTGCCACCTACTGACATAGGAATATGCATGCCTAGACATAACAGACATAAACATGATTGTTGGGTATTATTTATAACGTTTTAAATTTATTTTTCTTACAAAAACGCATCGATTTGCTACAGGAGGTCTTTATTCACTGCTCCCCAAGATGCCTTGAGGGTAAGACATGGTCTAATTTTCAATTTTGGGTGAACTAACTCTTTAAAATTTGTATTAAACATACCATATTAATATAAAAAAAGCAAAGAGAATAATATATTTCATTTTTTATAATCAGCATTATAAAATGCATTAAACATTACATTAGCGTTTCACAAACTGGCCTTAATGTAAGAACTGTAGTGTGTTTGTGAGTTGATAAAAAGGTAATAATTAATTAAATCCTAAAAATGTAAAGTAAAAAAATTATCAACACTTAACCCTTGAACACTAAAAATACATACATTTGATTTGTTTGCATGTCAGTATGGCCATTAACCTATCAGAACTTGTTTGTGCTGATGAGGATGATAAAACAGATTTAGATACAAAATAGTAAGTAAAACACATCCATAACACTGAAGTAAACGCAGACAACACCAGACAAAAGAACAGAACCAATAGACAGGGGGTAACAAGCTAACTAATGAGGCAACTGGTAAAGGAATGATTAATCAAACGAACTGAGAAACTAGGTCAAACAACACACAAGGAAGACAGAACCAAAACAGAACATAATTGTGACATAATGCCCCTTCCAGGAAGGCAAGGCCTCACAGTGTGAGATGACCGAGGAGATGTCCCTGAACGTGGATGAGAGGCTGGTGAAGGACAGGTGACTGATGAATCCAAGGAGTAGATGGTGAGCGGAGCTGAGGAGATGACAGTGAAAGTAACCATGAAGGAGGAAACTTGAGCCCGACTAACAGAAGTAACACCGGGAGATGAGGTCCAGGTGACGTCTGATGGACAGAGAGACCTGGTAAAATCAAAGGACTTAGAGACCAAGGTGGAGTTCCGGCATCGAGTGGCTGAAGAGGAGCCAGGGTGCCAGAGGATGTGGTGATGATGAAGTAAGAAAAGATGGAACCTGAGGGAAGGAGGAGCCTGATGAAGCCGTAGGGGTGAAGTGATGGAGTCCATGGCAATGGTGGAACGATGACTGACCAAGGCAAAGCCAGTGGCATGAGGAACCAACAAGACAATGGTCCTGGGTGGAGCCTAGGGGGCAAGGAGCCAGGGCGGAGCTGATTGGTCGACCAAGGGACGAGGCAGAGCCTTGGACTCCTCAAGCCAGGGCAGAGCTGGGGACTGGATTCCCTAAGGCAGATCAGGGCTGCATGGCAGAGGCTGATGGTGGAGCTGAAGGAATGGCTGGCTTCAGTGGAGCGTACAGAAGAGGAAGATGAGGAAGCAGACTCAGTGATGGACAGGACCGGTGCGATGAAGAACACTCTGTGCTGGATGTGACTGGTGACAACAAAGACTGTGAGCTGAGTGGAACCTGCGACAACGAAAACACACAGGAAGAAGGTTCATGGGTGGGCAGGTTGGGAAGCACTACCTTCCAATTAACTATATTTGCTTATCCAGTTCCACTAAAATCCTCACTAATATGGACGATTTGGCCAGTTCACACATCTGATCAACCAGGATCTTGGGCTCCTTTTCCAGGACGTATGTGCTTGCTGGCTCTAGCTCCATAGCAGGCATTGACTTAGGCTTGATTTCTGTGGTGGGAATGAGCTGGGCCTCTCGATAACACCAGACAAAAGAACAGAACCAAACTGGCAGTAGACGGGATAACAATGTAATTGAGAGCTAATACATATCATCACTCAGCAAAACTCACACACACACAAACACACACACTGATCTTACTGTCTATATGAGGATTTATTACAAACATTCATTCGGACATGTTATTTCAGCAACAAAAGTTCAGCTGCATTATTAATGTCATGAAGAGAAAAGAAGAAACTCTATGGCATCTCACTGTCACTGATTTATCAAGCAGCTCAAATAATTATGGGTAGAATCTCTCATCAATCTATTCTGATTCATCAACACAGTTTCACTGATGATTCTTTATAAACACCAAACCCAGGATAGAGCGGCTAAGTGAATGTGGTCTGGACTGTGTGGATGAGGCTCATTGTGTCAGAGACGCTGTAGAAGGACAGAGTTCCTGCACTGTGATCCACATACACTCCTATTCTACTGCTGATGGGCTTTACACTGAGAACAGTCTTTATGTTATTGTGTTTGAATGAGTATCTGGAGGGAGTGCAATACAAACTCCAGGACTGATCATTAGATCCAAACAAACCTTTATTACCCAATCCCTTCCTGCTGATGCTCTTATATGAAACTGATATAAACACATGTCCACTCCACTCCAGCTCCCAGTAACAGCGTCCACACACACTCTTTACATAACATCTGACGCCAATAATCAAATCTGTCCGGATGATCAGGATACAACTGGACTGATACTTCCAGCTATTCTTGCAGATCATAATCCTATGATGGCAGATTTCAATTGTAGTTTGTTTGTTGAAAGACCTCAGCGGTAACGTTTTAACATCTCTCTTTTACAGAATAACCAGTTTGATGTAGATTTCAAGGTCGGTCTGTCGGAATTTCTTTCATTTAATATTGGCTTGGTTGAAGGCCCAATATTATAATATTATATATATAATTACAATATTATATTCTATAATATAATAGAAGCACGAAAGTTTTTATCGAAGATTTTTCTATAGCCTTTGCTACTAATTTAAAAAAGATGCAGAATCACAGAATTGACTATTTAGAACAAGAATATCAGTCACTTGAATGTTTGTTAAAATCTTCATTTTCCAATTCGGTATTTAAGACGCTTCAAACCCTTAAGGCTGAACTGAATGATCTTTTGAGAAGGAAAGCAGAATTTGTACTTCACAGAACAAGACAGAATTATTACTTCAGTGCTGTTAGACCTAGCAAATGTTTAGCCCTCAGATTGAAGCAATGTCAAGCTAAATCATACATTGATATAATCAATCACCCATCTAAAGGACTGGTTAGGAATAGCAAAAAAAAAATAACTCTGCCTTTTCTGACTTTTTTTCTAAACTCTATGTATCTGAACT